ATGTCCACATGCTATTCTGTGAGCGTTCGTGCTTGTCAGTTTTTCTAGTGTTCCCTGGTTTTACGTGTCTGTTCTACCTGATCAACTTGGAACAACCTGGAGCAACCTAGGAAAACCTACGAAAACGAAAACCTAGAAAAACCTAGGAGAACGTAGAACAAGCTGGACCAACCTGGAATAAAAAATCTCGGCCGAGTTTGCTCTTCATTCTATGGTTTTTCGACTTCTATCGAAATTTCGACACAAACTCAGTCATACATTATTGAATGTTTATCTATATCTATCTATCCATGTATATTTATATATGTATATAAATGAAATATACTTTGGGGGTAATTTCAGTTATACAGCCACTTCTTTGAGCACAAGTATATAATTTGGGGTCGTTCCTCATAGTATTTTCAACGTAATGAATACTTGAGGACCAAAAAGCGGCTGTCACACCACATTTGTTTGTATTTTTTTGTTCCTGGACATCCAGAGTTGTGATGGACTTAGAGAATGTTTCGTTAGGTTAGATTGGGTTAGAATTTCATTTCTGTAGTGTCCCAAGGTAGTAGTTTAAAAAAAAGAAGCATCAGCTGTCAAGTTTATATACATATAGTCTTTCCATATTAATATGTTGGTTGTTCTAGTTTGTTTTAGGTTTTTGTAGGTTGTTCCAGATTGTTCTCGGTCTGTCGATGATTGTTCTAGATTTGTATAAAAATGAAGTAGTCCTAAGTAGGATAAAAGTAGATAGAAACGATTTTATATGCATAAAACTTTTTTTGATCTCATTCGAGTACTCTTTACTTATCGGTATTAATATCCTGGAACAATATTTCAAACAACTGGAACAACCTGGAACAAAAGAATTTTTTATTTTCCATAAGTGGTGACTTCCGGTAGAAAAGTGGTTTGTTCGCCTCACCGCTACAAATTTCAATTGAGAAACTTCTTTTTCTGGAACATTGTAGAAAAAACTTAGAACAACTCAGAACAAACAATGGAACTGGAATTTTCGAATTATGGGGCGCTATCGTCCCGAAGCCTCGACTCTAACCTCCAAGCTCGGCATACGTCATCTTCTTTTGACATCGAGCAACCCAAGCCAGGATCATATTTGCACAGAGGTCCCGTCGACGTAATACCCCGGACAAACTCGTTTCCACGTAATTTCACTTAAGCGGCCCTTAGCGACGGTGCTGCCATCTGCTAACCATTCGCCAAATGTCTTGTCGACCGTTTACTAACCATTCGTTTCGTATTAAAGGAGACATTTATTCGCAGCTGCCATTGTCTGTCACGTGAGGTCCTATTGCTGAGTTCACAAGAGTATGAACGATGTAGTCCACGTTTACGCGACTTTCTGAAAGCGATTTATTTAATAGCGATCCAAGGGAATAGACGAATCATAGACATTTCTACTTGTATGAATATTTGGGATTGGTCATATCCTTCCGATCAGCATTAACTAAACCAGTTCAAGACCGCCGTGTAAACGTAGTCAATAGCCCTTCGGCATGACTGCTTTTCTATCCGGTATTCATCTTTTGACATCTCCGACTTTTCATCTACTGAATCCTCTCTGAATCTCTTCTCGAGAAATAAGACGTGAATCTCTGTAAGTATCGATTTCCCTACATGGCTCACACCGGTGACTTCCAGCTGGTTAGATGCTACCTGTTAACTCTTCACCTTGAAATAATTATACCCAACTTCAACTATTTTACTGTCCTCGTTACATTTTCATAGGTTACCTTGAATGCTTAGACTTTCGAGAGTGAATATATTGTACTGCCTACTCAAAGTCACCGTATTATCAGAGACGAGCAGAAAAATGCTCAACGCTACGGTTTTGGTCGATTATAAAAAAATCCTACTCCCGGACTCGCCACTGCTATTTTACTCCATGCTTTCGGTGTCGCGTAAAACCGTAGCGTTGTGTATCTCCCTACTCATCTCTGGTATTATACCTTGGAAACGTGTTACATATATAAAGTGACTTACCGGGTGTCCCAGATATAAAAAAAAAACCGCCAGCATTATTCATCCCCCATTGAATAAAAATAATAGCATACGTAAAACCTCTTCGCTTGGAACGAACGAGTCCTGTATATTTTACATCTCGGTCCATCCTCCATCCTTATCCCAGTAGCCTATCCCTCTTAAGCCACCTGTACGTAGAGCCTACGTTTCTTTCATCTTCGACCCCTTAGTCGAGCGTCGGGCCAGATCTCAACGTCGTTTCTTCACGCTTGGCCTAGGACGCTTGACTGACAAGGGGTAGTAAATCAAAAAAACACTTTCCCCCAAAAACAGGACGTGGCCCTCCACCGGAAGCAAGAGCGAAAGGGTGGTTTTCAGCGGCGCCCCGGTATACCTTAAAATAATAACACGAACCCTTTAAATGCCACGGTGTTACTTTCACCCCACTTCAAAATGGGTAAATGACGTAAATCACAGCCACGTGGAAAAATGTCAGTCGAGCATCGAGACACGATTTTCCTCGATCGTAACGACCAAATCTCCCTACGGAATTTACGACCGGAAAGCCCATTTTTTGTTCCGCACCCTCTTTAAAAAAGACGAAATGCGCATACGGGAGTTGGAAAAATCGAAAAATCATAATTCCCAAATGGGAAAAGGATCTGTTTATTTGTATCGGGCCGTAGACCTTGGATGATCCCCGTAAATATATATCACCCCGCGCGCACGTTTTCAACGTAACCAAAACACATAGCCAGTATCGATTAATCAATCAATCCCAATGATAGTTTTATCGACAAACACCTTGTATAATTAATCATTAGAATCTCATATGATTTCACATACAGTGCGTAATCTATATTTACACATGAAAAAAAAAAAACAGAAAAAAAACAAGCCTTATCAGCGTCTATACAATTTTGATCAATCATGAAATACTTTCGCGTTATCCAATATCCACGTGGCTGGGTACGGTGAATATTTTTTTCATCCCTTAATGCACCCCTCCGAACCAACTTAAAGCAATTTTGCAGATCGATTTTTCGAATTTTTTTTTTTTTTTAAAGCTCTCTAATACTCGCGAATGTCAGAAGCCAACGTATACAGTCGACTCGTCATAGGCTTGGACTAGTGCCTGGGCTAGTCGACTGATTTTCAAATAGGATCCGGCGGCTGAGCAACGATTTTACTACCCGTCGTCCTGCGTGCAATCTAACCTCAAACGCAGCTTTGTCTCCAGAACGAATCTGTACGCTTTGTATACACAACCCTGTATATGGTTCCTATAATTCCATTTGTGACTGACGAAGTATCGGCCTCTGCTCCATATCAACCCACTGCGCTCTACATATGCGGCTGTCTTCTGCATTCGAATTCTCCGCTGCACCGCAAGTTATTGCTTTCCGCATAACCTATCAATTTCCGGTGCATTGGCTGCTGACAATTTTTTTGAGTCAAGGAGAAAAAGAAATTAACCGTGAAGCTGAATGTCGACTACATATACAGTACGTAATTTTATGATATGGTATTTTTGGTATTTTTAAAAAATTTTTTTATTACTACATAATAATTATCAGTGAACGAAATCGCCGTCGTGGTCGATACTATTATCAAGTCTTATATTTAATTCATGACTTTAGATACGTTCGACAAACTTTACAAGTCCGTAAAAGAAAGTTCGCGTGTAAGAGATTGATGTTCAGGAGGAGAGCCCCATCATTGACGTACGACGGTTACGTGGTTCTCATTCACGACTGTCGTTTGGCGAGAGGAAGGAATATGGAGAAAAAAGGTTTTAATTAATAATAATTTTTAATTAATTTGTTTATTTATCATTTGCCTATTTTAATTAATTTATATACTTGCAGATAAATATTGAAACCTGGCACTGTACGTTCTCCAAGTGCTAAGGGTGGTTGTATTTCGAAATTTGAAATAAGGCTGCTATAATGGCTCGCACCGGGTTCCAGGTCGAGGCGGCTGGGCGACATAATTTTAAGTCAGGACGGCTGGAAGGCGCTTTCAGAGCTTTTAGCTAAACGTTCGCATTTGATAAAGGAGCTCAGCCTGGTCCGGGCGTATTCGATGGGATGAAGAAAGTGGAGGGTAGTGAAGACGAGGAGGAAGGAGGGATCTGGATGGTTGAACGGTGGAAAAGAGAGATTGTGCGAGAAACCGAGATAGGAGGAGCAAGAAGAGGGGTGAATTGGTGGGTACGATTATAATGGGAATTCTGAAACAATACCAGGGCCACCCCTTATTGAACCGTCAGCCTCCAGTTGGTATCTGCGACCAAACTTTATGGGCTGAATCATTTCAATTTGGAAACTGCCAAGGGGTAGTTTTACTTGAACTTCAGGGTTGACCCTGCTATACGCATCCCTAGTCGTATCGGCCAAATGAATTTTTATTTATATATTTCTACCTTGTTTTTAGACTCAATCCTTGGAGAATAAAACTAACCTCGTTTACTGTCTATGGAGCCGAACCGCAGCACGTTCCTAAGTATTTATCGCAGTGGTAGCTGTATGGCTGGTACTGGGATTTCTATTTATTCTCAGTGAATGGCCACGTGAGGTAATGGCAGGAGGAATACAGGAAACGGATGGATGAGACGGGGTGGTCGAAGAGGAGACACGTAAAGAAGAGGGACAGAGAGGAAAAATGAAAGAGAATAAGCCAGCGTTTTTTTTTTTTTTTTTTTTTTTTTTTTTTTTTTTTTTTTTTTTTTTTTTTTTTTTTTTTTTTTTTTTTTTTTTTTTTTTTTTTTTTTTTTTTTTGTGGGTTTGCATTTCTTTTGGAGAGACAAGCAAAGTAGCTCTTAATGCGAGTACGAAATTATTCGTCTTTTCAAGCCGTTTTAATCCAGCAGGGCGAATGAAAGGAACAGGAAATCCTTGTCGCGGGTTATAAAAATTCAGAGGCTGTATCGGGGTGAACTAGTGAGCGGCGACCGAGCTGGAACGGTGGATTATCAGGAAGACGATGTCGGGGATAAGGATGAAGACCAAATGAAAAACTTACTTCTCTTGCTGGGGCCTATTTAAATATTTTATTTTTGCTTTTATTTCCTCAAGGACATTCGTTATCTTTGGATTCGCTTCTCGACGATGAAGTCTGGGTGCACACCCGGTATCCTCGAGGATCCTTGGATGTGGATGAGTCTTGTAGCTTGGGTTTGCTGAGTTTTAAGATTTTAGATAGAGAACCGCTTTCAGGGTTTGAATAAAGAATGACCTGTGAATTATTGGTTCGTTGAATATCGACTTTACTATCTCTGTCTTTCTTATTCTATGGAGAAACTCTAGAACCGTCCGGCTCAGGATCCTCGGGGTTACCACCCTTAGCCGACGCTCAGAGCAAAAGTCGAATACGGTTACGCGAAATTACCGAGTGGTTTAGAAAAGGCGGACACAGTAGGACGGAGAGTGAACTTTCACTAACATTTCTTTATGAGTTTTTATTTATTTATTATTATTTTTTTTTTCTTTCATATAGAGAATCTCATTTACTGCCGTAAATTTAATAATTTTATTTTTCTGAGACGCGGAGTACTGGAATTACGGCGGTCTCTGAATTATTTGTATTTTTATTCGATTGGTTTATATTGAAATTAAATTGTAACTGAATCATAAATTTTTTTTAACTTCAATTTAAAGATCTTTCATTTTGTTCGTAAATTTTGTTGCGTTTTATTATTAAATTAAATTTTTATTACTCGAATTTATGATCAATGGAATGGATATGTCAAGTACACCATGGATTCTTTACGCTGAAAAAATTTTACGAGAAACACAAAGTTTTTTCTACAGATTCCGCTTTTGAAATTTCACAGTAATTTTCGTTGCCAATAAAATAAAAGTATCAGGCATGGAACACTGTCACGAACATAACATGTAACAAAATGTAAGTGGATAAGTTCAGAACGAAATAGATTGATGAAAGGGTCATGGGGTAACAGCAAATCGTGAACGTTCCGGAAGTTAAATATTTATTTTCCAAAAGAAAGAAAAACATGTTCCCGAAGCCCAGGGTCGCCTCGCGGGTAAGGACGTGCGAAGCCATCAAATTACAAAAAGTCACTCTTAGGATGTGAAAATTGTAAAAATACCTACTTCAATCTGCGTAGGTAGAAGATCGGTGTGTCATTCCAATACCAAATATGGAAGATGAAATTGATACGGCTGGAATATTTATTTATTCAATATCAAAAAAGTGTATCCAGTAACTATTGAAGAAAACATACGACGATAAGGGTATGTCGATGCTATCGATAAAGTGAAAGCAGGGAACGAAGGTTGGGTTACAAAAGAAAGCACTGGAGTCAAGGCCAGAATAAAGATAGCAGATAACAGATGGATGAAAACTAAGGGTTGAACATGGTCGCCAGGATGACTAGCACTTCTGTTTTTATGACTTTAACCCTCTGGACTACTCGATCGGTCGACCAGCCGAGCAAGCTCATCTATAATAAATATTAACCTCATTTTCTAGGAATGTGATGAACCTAATCTTGGGCCATAGAGGCACCACCCTTAATAGACTTATCCATACGGAACTACCCAGCGAAGACGTATTAATAAAAATTGATTGAATCTGTGCTGTCTACAAATTTTATAAAAATTGACGTTGCCGATGGGAGTATCGTCAACGTGGCACTGTAACTCCTGGAGCTGAAATAGTAAAGAATTAAATATCTGATTATCCTTGCTATCCTAGCAATTTCACATACACTATGGTACAATACCATCTGTTTTAGGATCACTCTGAAGACATCCTTATGGACGATGCTTATTATTTCAGAACACCTTCCTCATAACCCTGGCACTGTCATCCATGTATCCTTCATACAAGAAAGGACCACAACTCCAGCACAGTCCCCTAATTTAGAACTATGGACAGTCTAGTTTCCAACCTCCAACCCTCCTTCCTTTCTGAAGGATTGAACGTCATATGCATCCCATACGACAGCCACCAGGTTCCATTACATCTACAAGGAAAACACACCCTAGGAGGAACCCTGGTTGGCTACACCTGTTCCATCAACTAACAAAGGGTCCACCTAGGCTGGTTACTCTGACGCTGACCTTTCTGTAGGCAACTTCCGTTGTCAGTGGTTGACACCCGTGACGATATTTATGGCTTCCATATGGTTATCATCCCTTACATCATTCCATTATATCCCATGATCCTGTCAAATTATTATCCTCAGTCAATAAACCAACCGTGGACACTCTTTTCGTGAGTATAGGGTAAATATTGAAAGAATCACCCCTCTCAAAGCTCTCATGAACGATATTTCTGGCTGCCCCAGTACACAAACCCAATCCTGGTATCAAAGCACTCCCCACCAAGAATTCCATGTACATAACATTATCTCATGAGAACGTGCTTTGTACTGGAAATGCTAACGATCACGGTATTAACCTTTGCACTGATAAAATTAGTCTCCATGTTATTTGCCCTGAGTGCTTCCTGTTTCTGATACTATTTCTAACTATGTTTCTCTACCCGTTTCAGTTCTCATTTCTGCTGGTTTACGTGTACGTACAGGGAGAGAGCACGACTAGGATATAATTTGCAATTAGGTATCGAGCTCGTTGGCAAAAACAACAGCGACGCTTTGTCCATGGTACAGTACGTCCGGACGCCACAAGAGAGAGTGGCCCCTAGAATCCGGAAACTCTCAAACGTCCACTCGCACCACCGTACTTTTCCTATACTCTCCTCGTCGTTCCCATTCCTGCTGTCGCAGCTACGAGAGCGATTGGCCCTACGCCAGCGACGAGAAGCACAAAGCGTCGCGACGCCACGGGCTTTACTGGCATTTTGTCACTTGTCACTGAAGCGACCGACACCTCGAGAAAGGCCCTTTGAACCTCCCTTTTCTTCTTGTAATCAATGGAATACATTCGTTTCTAGTCTTGGCTGATATCGTTTCTAGATCCGCGACCCTTGACATATCTTTTTCTTCTTTATTGTGGAGTAACATTATTCTTAAGGAACCTTGAGAACGACGAGGGTTCAGACTTGAGAATTTTTCGTTTTTGCTAACGGATTCTTTTTTTCTTTCCTACTATTTCTTTCTGTTACCTCACCGCTTTTTTTTCCTTTTTTTTTGGTCAGTTTGGTATTTGCATCGAATAAGGATCTCGAAGATCGGATTACTGTCCCACGTGGCAAATAATCTTGAAGATTTGCGTAGCGGGTAGCCACGTGTAATTTGCAAATGGAAAGGTTCTCGTTCAATCCCGGTTTGATAAGATTTTACGAAAATTCGACGGAATCTCTTGAAATCCATCTTGTCCCAGGAGTAGTCCCTCGTGATACGTATCCACAGGGTATTTTAGAAAAAAAAAAGGAGAACAGTCGCCCCAATGTAGATCCGCATGACCGTTTGCAATTAATTTGCAAATCTTATAAGTGGTATTAAGATTTGCAAGTGTAATTCCAGTCCAGGTGAAATTCAGCAAATTCATTGTCCTCTGGTCTTGTATGTCACCACAAGTAGGTACATTGTAAATGAAAAATTTAAATTTTCCATGAAATACCTGGGTGAAAAGTATAAAAATTAAATACTGACAAATTAACCATAGCAGAAAACTATCCTGTACTTATGAAATATAATCATGGACCAAGTCTACTGATGGTCTTATTTTATTACGTTACTCTTTGCCAGGATATGCTTCAAGATGTAGTCACGACTAGGTCCTTTAGAGGCTTTTGTAGTGACTCGGTGAATCCTCTAATCGCATTAGGTCTCCATTGTTTCATTCGCTTGACGTCTTATTTCTTCGTTACCTTAGAAAGCCTGCGTGCTTTTATTTCCCATTTCTGTCTTTATCCGACCGTCGCATTATAGGTACTATATACCTATATAGGTTCTACCATATGTCGTCCTGACTCTGGTCACCGGAGATAGTAACGAAATTCATTTGTCTATTTATCTGCAACGTGGTCAAAGGAGAATATTGCGTTATCTCTTAAGGTATTCTGGAGTACATCAAACAACCACGTATACTTGAAACAAAAAAAAAATATAACATGATAACACAGCAGGTTCTTATACTTTTATTCTCTTTTATCTCCACGTTTCTCCTTTCTTTTTGAATCTCGATAATCGCCGTTTGTTTTCATCTTTGTCAATGGTCGAAAGCGATGACGTGAAACCACTAATGGAAATGTAAAAAGTGCAAACGATAGTTTCTCGATGCACGTAAAATGGTATAAGTGCAATGACGTTGGCGTTCTAACCTATCGGAATATTATAATCTAACGGAAATATACGATAAACGACCATACCGAAGCTGTTAAGTATTGAATTTCCTTTTTACGACGTCTGGTTATAAATTCCATCCTATAACTTGAAACTCTCCTACATCTCGACTTTCTATCGCTTCTCGACGTAGCTGAACGAAGATGGATCGTACGATATTCAAACGACGGTTGCGTTGAACCTCGATAAAGATGGCTCGCTCTGGCGGAGACGTAGGGAAGCTTGTCCGATCGATCGTGTCCCGTGATCGTGTCTAAACGGAAATAAGGTTAGGATCGCACGTTAGCACTCGGAAATCTCGTCTAGACTCTCCTCCAGGAGGAAAAGAAGATCCTCTAATTCACTGACCCTCCTAAAAGCGGTGGATTCATTTTAACAGAGGATGTTGGGTGAAAAAAAATTTAGAAAAAATGTTGAGGCTCGGTGCGAGGCCGAGTCGAGATTCTTATCACCGTTGAGATATTTAAATCCATTTTGTATTTCCTTCGTGAGAGATCGGTTGTTAATAGGATATCTTAAAGGAAATCGCTTTTTCGAAGTAGCAGGAAGTCAGTTTAATCAAATCAAATAGTGTTATACCCGAAGAAAGAATATAAGAAAAAGTTTACTATTTTCTACTGGGAAAAATTCCGTTGAATTTTCTTTATCTATTAGCTAAGTGGCAGATAAATCTAAGGAATTACCTTGATCTGTGGAAAATTTGTATCAGGCTGAAGCAATCTTGAGAAATAAAACTTCGTACTTCTTAATCTCCTCGGGATTCATCGACTCTGTGAGAAATTTCCTTTTTTGAAATGCTTCTCTACTTAACGTAGTGTAATTTGGGAAAACGATATACGGATCATTCATTAGTTCAGCGAGGAGTGATTTGAGACGTAGAAAAAAAATTTAAATTTTCAATCGAGACAACAGATCTGATTGGTTCTCCACAGGGAGTTGTGCGCAGTCATGAATATGGATATGAAATCAAATTACTCACACGCTGCTGAATCGGAAGACCTAGATATGAATATAAGGAGATCGTCCATCTTGATGCTTCGTTGCATTAAAACAGGAAATGCAGTATCTATTGCCAGAGATGATTAGGGAGATGCACAACGCTACGGTTTTGAGCGATACCAAAAACATGGCGCTGAATCGCAGCGGCAAGTCCGGAAATAGAATTTATGTGATCATCGCCTCCGTCGATAATGCAGATCCCGTCGTAGCCAAGCTGACCGCAATCACGAACGTGTAGCTTGACGAGCACAGGCTCTCCGCTACTTACCGCTGATTTCCAAAGCAACACTTACAACGAGACAGTTCATCGAATACAGCCTAAATATTTTTCTTCCTTGCAATCCTAAGTTCGAGCGCACAGTGTAAGCTCCGTAAGTTTAATACGACAAAAGCTAGCAGCTAATGCCTGCCTGAACTGAAGCGTATGATGCAACCAGCATATTTAATAGATATTTGACCGATGTTGCGCCACAGAACTATTGTTAAAACCTATCAGAAATTATAAAACTTCTCGAGATCTATTGAAAAAGCCTATTATTGAAACGTATTTAAGAAACTGCGGTGCCAACTTCACAACCGTGTAGCACCTCAATTTTTGGAAAATGTTTCATCATAAGATATTTTCAATAGTTCTCGAAGAGTTCTATAGTTCCTGATAGGTTTTAACAATAGTTCTGCTACGTAACATCGGTAAAATACATATTAAGGATGTTAATCGTACCATACGCTTCAGTACAGGTATACATAAGAAGCTGGCTTTCAGTGTTGTTCTCAGATTGTTTCAAACAGTTCCGGGATAGTTCTCTCTAATACTCAATGTTAGGACCATAGTTCCGCTTGGAACTATTGTTAAATAATGCTGGAAGCTAACACCACATCGCTGCAGTTTTTATCGCAAGCAGTAATGAAGTGCTGGCTTTTGGCTTAGTAAATCTTATTGAGCTTACACTGTGCACTCGAATTTAAGATAAAAAAAGAAAATATGTAGGCAATATCTGATGAACGGTCTCGTTCTAAGGGTTGCTCTAGGAACCAGCGGTAAGTTGCGGAGAACCTCTGCCGGCCAGGCTACACGTTCGTCATCACGTTCAGCTCGGGATATGGATTATCGACAGAGGCGATGATCACAAAATCCTACTCCCGGTTTCGCCGCTCCGATTTAGCGCCATGTTTTTGGTATCGCCTAAAGCCGTACCGTTGTGCATCTCCCTGTTCATCCCTGCTATTGCTTATCTTATATACACTCGTGCTTCACGTTATTGCATTTTCATTAAAAAATGCATAACCTCAAAAATACAAACATGCATGTTGGTCATATACATAAGTAGCTACGTATATTTTTTTTCTTTCTGTTCAGACCTAGTTCGCACTATAGCAGTCCTTACCATATGGCTATTTGATTATATATATTTCTATTATTATATATTACAGCCCGTATTTCGAACTCACTCTTAAAGTCACTAACAGAGTCGCTTTTAGTTCAAAGTCACTAACAACAAATTTTAAATCGCGCTATTAGCACTAAAAGCGAGATCTGGATACGGGCTTGTGTCCATACGCATTGTAAAAAGAATATTAAAACTCACCTCAGAGAATTTGAAACACACTGCAAACTGCTAGAGCATTTTTTAATCCCAAAATATACTTTTTGTCTTGAAAAAAAAATGAAGAAGCAAGAAAAGTCTTATCAGCACGCCATTAATAACGTCGGTAACGTCAAAACAGTTGATCTCTATCATCTTGTTCATGGCTTGGAATTTCGCGGACTTGTTTACCAGACGCTCCATCCCGACGGGGAACGCTGATGACCATGATAGCGGTTATTATGCTTTTATGTACATCACGGAAATTTGCATAGCCCGTGCATTTCTAGCGCTCGTGGCGTTGCCAGGTACTGATAAAAAATTTCAAGCACCACCGCTTGGCTTTAATCGTACTTTCGTGTAATGCCGTACCATACGTACCAGCGGAGTCATCCCATTCTGGAAATTTTTAGACAGCATCGACGCTCTGTTTAAAATAATAAGTATCTCCGCATCTTTTAGTGTCATGCGAATTACGCGTTTTTTACTTTGCTTGGAGTATTTTGAATTTAACGTACTGCCGTTTTCCTGGATTCCATTTACTCGGTGATATTTTAATTATACGCAAACTTCATTGCGTTCCTTAGAACGGCCGCTGGCGATATTTAAAAATAAATTTATATTGACTAATGGGTAACAAGAAATTTTTGGAAATTCGCAAGACTTTGGTATTGAGGTGTGGATATTGAAATAAGAGGAATTTTAATGAATTACATACTTTATTACAACGTCTAGTTAAAAATGTAATACACTCGTAATAATTATTAATAATACTTAGGCTTTAATTGTGACGAAGCATGATGAATGACTCGTAGAACTGTATCTCACGAAAACAACGTGATGAAGTCTGTTATGATCGACTATCCTATATATTGCGCTTCCGGATTAGATTCGAAAGCAAATGTACAGAAATAAAATTTCACTTACAATCTATACTCTGCTCAATAAGAATTACAAGGATTAAGTACTCTTTCACTATCAGGAGACGATGACAGACGTGCGTGTACTGTGTAAAATATAAAATAACATGGGTAAATCGCTTCGGCTAAAAACTTATTGGAATAACAGAGGGTCAAACTGACATCAAAAAGCATTGCGACTTCAAGGTATTGGACTTCCTAGACAATTTTAAAGGATGTACAGAAACCATAGAAAAATCTAAATCATCTGATCCCACTATCTTTCATTGCAACTTGATTTGCAGCTCCAACGATTGAGTTTCGAAACAGCTACTGTGATTCGATAAAGTTCTACTAATTGGTTCTTAATTGATAGTCGCCATTTTGAGTAATGTAACGCACCCAAGGAAGAGCCTGGTAACCACTCTTTTCGATAATCTTCAAGTATCGCACCTGGATACCGGAAGTTGTGAAATACGGAATTTCAAACTTGACTTGAATTGGGGGTTTCCCTTCAACGTCCTCTCCGACCACGGATGGCAGCCCAAAATGTGCCCTCATTAAGTATTCCTTACCGCCAGGAAAGGATTTAATGGACCAGGTGATGGCGCTTTGTTCAGGGGAGTACTTGACACTGCCGATGGTAGTTTTGAATTTTGGAGAATCCGCATCATTTGGAACGGGGATGACTATCTCAACGTTGTTGGCAGTTGAACGACGTTTGAACTGTGACCTGGCCTTTATCATATACTCGACCCTGCTGTGAGCGTGTCGCTCAATTACAGATTCAATCCAGATTAAAGGCTTTACATGAGTGTTCAATCGATAGGACATCAACTCGAATTCACCATCAGGGGGAATAAATGATATTGTACGATCATTCTCAAAGCGGGATAGTCGCACACATTGATGAAATTTCACATCTTCTAGTTCAACTGACTTCGACTTTCCTCGACCTGTTGACTCGAAGAGAACTTTATCGTTTAGACCTAGACGTAATTCCGGCATTCCAGATAGGTAAACACGCATTTTTATGGCACCAACGATTTCTGAACTCAGGACATTTCCATTAGCATTTGCCAATAGGTTTACAGACTCAATGACATCTAAAAAGACTTCATTCTTTCGGTACTTGATACCCTCCGATCTCCAAGATACAGCATTCGTCACTGCCAATGGTATTCTTATTTGTACTTCAAGTTTGTGTCCTTCTTGCGTTATATACTCTTGAAGAATTTTACTGTCTGTTGTTTGAGGGTACCCAAAATCTAGTAGCTCATCAAGAAGCTCGTAAATGACAACAAAGTTATCTCTGATACTTTCTTCTTCCAGCTCCTTAAAATACTCTTGCATGACCTGCACCACTTTGTGTAGAAATACAAACACTAGTGATATATTCGCATTCTTCTTTGTTGTAGAAACAATGTACAAATTGTTGTATTTAATATAGGCATATGTACACTCGGGAGTTTGTATTATTGGAGTGAGATTACCCTCCTCTTCACGTTCCATTACAAGTGGCATGAACTTCTCAATCACACCAGTTTCAATATCTCCACGATAATTACGTGAGATTAACACCTTCCCCTTGACATCCAAAATATATATCGCTGAGGTCGACATCTTGGACCTTCTAGAATCTACAAGAGAAATTAAAACTATGTAATTTGTCAACATACAATATTGTAGATGCCTTTGAAATAAAATTAAAAGCAAGCTGTGAGAACATAATAAAATGATATATTCTAGTGTACTAATTCTAGAATCTATATTTTAGGTTATGTATTCCAAGCATGATAGTTCCACTTTCAAAAACGATACAGAACGTAACACAATCGACAATCATTATTGTAGAACTAAATAAATGAAATTCAAAAAAAAGAATAATAAGATCACAGCCAAAGTAAATGCTAGATCCCTTTTGCCAAGGACAGAAATTTGACAACTCAGTAAACGACAGTTTCGTTTCTAATGATAATACTGAAACTTATATAAACACGTACATTCGTAGGATCCTCAAAGAACAGAAGACATTAGTAGTTTAAAATAATGTCAGCATTGATAGCAACAACTGACTTAAATATGGAATAATACCGACAGCACCTTCTTCTACGTTATCAGAACTGCCACTGTGGACCGTCGCGAAGTTAGGTACTTGTGACGCATCATCGCGCGTGCGCATAAAACATATCTCTGCGAGATATCGATCGCACACCGCACTTGCCAACCACTTCCGAGTCATTGGAATCTTGAAAATAAGGCCGTACCAGTTCAAGAACTTGACCCCTTGACGTATAAGTCTGGTAGAATAAAAAAAAAGGAAAGAGTCTCGCTGGAGAATAATGAAACTTCAACTTAAAGTTTTACTAGAAATAGAAGAAATGAAAGATGCATTGTTTCAAAACAGAAGCTCTTCGAAAGACGCAATTTGGCAGGTAATTTAAAATCCGCTAGCACCAAATGCAAACGTATTCAAAGCATTCGAGGCAAATGGATGGAAAAGTTTGTTGCCCGTGGTATTTTCTTGGTGAAGCGCGAAAAGTGACTGCAGTAAAAGAAAACTTTACTGTGAATAATCATGGCGCGAGTATTTAAACGGCTAAAAGGGATGCTCGTTTCACGATGAAGAATCTTTTGTCGATGCTGCTCGCCTTTCAAGGAAAATAAATTCAATTTCAATTGAACGCGAACTACGTCTAGAAGGAAGAATTGAAAAAAGTTTCAGGTATCAAAGGAAACTAAACCGACAACCTCAACCAATGTTTCGCTGAAAACTTACATTTACCCTCAAATATTTGGTTTAACCATTTACTCGTTTTACCAGCATTCTAAATGCTAATGAGGGTGATTACTCATTACAAAAAGATTAATAGAACTGCATAAATACGTAAGGACGTCCTATAATTTTCCCCAAACTGTCCCATTTCCTGTATGTGATATCATATCTTTTTTTACTGGAGTCGCATCCGTACAAAACCACTATACCATTTTCAGAATAAATCACGACCGCGTAATAAATCTTGAAATATCCTACTCCAATTGTGGCGCAATAAAGAAAAATATAAACCGTAGCGGCTTAGCATCGTTGTAACGTATTTCGCCTTTACACCGCGTTTCGTTGTGGTATTTCAGTTTTAATTAAACCGCAATTTACGATGCCATTTCTATCGTTCGTGGTACTAAAATGACGATATATTTTCATAAATGTTCGGTAACGTAAAACTCGAAGGCAGCCAACATACTTTAAGCCCTACATAAAAAAGAGAGAAAATACTTCAATTCTCATAAAATAAACAGACTTTCCCAATCGAAGTTTCTCATACATCCAAGCATATTTTTATTTCCCTCTGCAAATATATAACCAGCAGTAAAACCAACGCGTACATGAAATTCGATTTTTATTCGAATCAAATTAAAATCATAATGAGAACGCACCAATAACCAAATTAAAAATAACCACGAATTCAGGAAATTATAAATGCAATTAACAATTCGCAAACAGCAGCCAATTATTATACCCGACAGAATCTCACCCCAGTGTAATTACTGAGAACGAACAGAAGCCCAAAATAACGTATGCCAAGTTTATCCGTACATAATAAATAAATCAGTATAAAAAATAAAAAATATATACAATAAATATAAATAATTATTGAATTCTTTCAGTCAAGAAGAACATTCAGCATTCAAAAAACATGTGCAGTCTGAGTGTACTCCATTGGGAATTGGCTTCGAATAAGCAGACACTATACGTGTCTCTATATTCAATTCTGGCTATTCCTACGTGATAGAGAAGAATGGATAGAGACAGATAAAGATAGTGAATAAGATATCCATACATACGTGCAGACAATAGTGTGGAAACCGAAGGAAGTAAATGTCCTAAAGCCGCAGAGAATTGATATTTTATTCTCCTACAGAGACATCAACGTTCATGCAATTCCGAACAAATTCTGAATCTCGATTTTCCATTGATAGAATGTCAATTTGCATGCCATGTATATTGCACTGCATTGCTTGATCCAATTCCTTTTGGAGTTGTGTAAGTATTTCACCCTGTCTGGATGGTTTAATGCCTGGACGCAATAATCGAGGAGTGAATTAAGTTGATGGAAATTAAACGTCAGAGTTTCAATACCCCGATATAACTGCTTACGTACCTAACCTATGTACTACGATAAGGTAGCGTGAACACTGAATTTAACCCATATATGACGTCACAGGATGCTCGACGAACCACCCTAAAACTGAAGTGAATTCCACGTTGGATTTTCTATGAACATTCCACAAACTTCCCCTCTCTTGCCAGACAAATTTTTCAAAAGTGGTACGAAGACGGTGGCTACCTTGGGGAAAGGTATTTTCATGTTCTATGCATAGCTGTCTAAAGGAATGGGTTATACCTACGCAATATTAAATATTGATTTAAATATATTTTTGAGTTTAGGGTTGAACAGCAGGGAGGTTATGTAGTAACTTTCTAAGAATAGTTGTACCAAAGGATCCCATGTTGCTTTAGTAATTGAAATTGCTTGCGACGTTACTAGGCGTCAACAGGATAATTTACAGTGTCTGGTCAGACAAGAATCTCACAGGGCTAGGATCAGTGACATCATTTAAAACGACAAAATTAATTTAATCAATAAATTACAAAGGACATTATCGTAAATTGTATCAACCTGTATCCACGTAATAAGATCAATAATTACACCAGGTATGTTTGAGAGGCTTCTAGCTAAGAAATTATTTCTTGTTACAGATCCAGTTCAAGAAGCACGTGCTACTTCCATGCATCTTCAGATCCTGGAAAGTCAAGGAGCATCTCTATGGTTTCCACACAATCACCGTATTTTCATCCAGCATCTGTTTATTCAGAATTCTTTGAAGGCAATTTAACTTGAATCTACTGTTTTGGTCCGGTCCAGCGGAACTCTCCTCCATTCCTTATATTTCATGCAAAGAGCAAAAAAGGAACTTTAAGACAACAGAAGGAACATACGAATAGAGAGCATTGAAAGGAAAATGTGAAGATTAAAAACGTAAGAGAGCGAATAATGGAGAAAAACAGTGTAAGGAAAAGGGCCTGGATCGTTTGCATAACGAAGTTAGAAAGTGATTTGACGTAGACGCAGGTGGTTCGCCCGAGCGGAAGTTGAGTTGTTTGAGTTCCGGTTAACAAGGACGCTACGAGTAATTTCGACCTGGGGCCTCGCGTTCTCCTGTGCTCTGGGCGCGTTATGCTGGTTGCGAACAAATGCTGCCATGCTCGCAACATGCCAGCCGGCGGCACCGACCCAGCCGCTGGTACCGAGGCTGAAGTACTCCAAGTTCCTGGTCTTATCCACAGAGAAGACCTTCCTTCTGTTGCTCCTCGCCGTTGTCGTCTGCAACTCGCAAACCGCTACGCGCTACGCCTCGCGCATCGTCGAGACCCAGGGTGGACAAATTCGAGGAATACTCCAGGCACGTATCCTCTTCATCTTGAAGATATCTTTTTTTTTCTTTCTTTCTTTTCATCCTCACCTTCCTCTTTCATATATCTCGAGTAATCCTCGTCGTTCATTCAATTGGCTACGCCTTTATTCGATCCGGCTTCCTACTGATATCTTTTCGGACGCTATCTCAAAAAAATCTGTATTGCTTTTGAGATATAGTCCAAATCCTTTAATCTGACGTAAATCGATTGGAGGATTGATTTCGATTTGGTTCAAAAGGACATTTTTCTCAATTCATATATATTGCTCGAAAATCTCAAGAAACGTTGTACGTGGCGTAATTAGAGACAGGAGATTTTTAAATTTTCCTACGTTTAATTCTCAAAATGTCATCCCGACAGATTCCTCATCCCGAATTGCACGACCATACGAAAACTACGTTCCCGCTGAAGCAGTCACGTGCGAACGTCACGTAGACAATCTCGCTGATTGAATTTCCTACATCGCGGAAGGAAAGGAATAATCCAGAAGGTCCAGGATAACGTGTTGGGATTCCGATGGGATGCATTCGTGGATGCAGTAAAGTTTGAGAAGTCGAAAGAGAAGATTGCTGAGATGTGATAGGGAAGGGTGTAGGGGGGAGGGGGGATGTTCAAAAATTTATTCAAATGATTAACTTTTGCTTCGTAACACTTTTCAGATTAATTTATTCTCGTACCAAACGTCTAAAGTTTGAGTATTATTATTGAATTCCTCTAGAGTTTCGAAGAGAAACACCGATTACAGTCATTTTGCGTTTTGAATAAATTTACCAGCCCTCAACTCATTTTAAATTACAGTAAATATATATATATATATATATATATATATATATATATATATATAATCTATAGAAAATGAATATTCCAGTCAGGTGTACAAATGATATTGATTTTGCAAGAGATTTGCCTCGTTAACTGTCAGGCTGTCGTGTAGAGAATTTAAACCCTCTGCGGTCGTATTTACCTCAGGATACGGGTGCTTTGGTGGCTGGGAGTCGTCATACGACCGCAAAATATTAATAATTCGGGGAATCCCACTTTTGTTCTGCGTGAAAACTTTTTGCGTTGATTTAATTATGACAAATTCATGGATATCGGCCTTTTCATATCATTCTGTCGATTTGACGATATTCTTTTTTTATCCACGGCGTGCCGTTTTTCTATCGACTACGTTATTAATTTGACATACTCGCATATGACAGGCTATCTAATATCTCTGTATTGCCTCGTCTAACGAATCACTACGCGTATCTATTTTTTACGTTTTTATTCTTTTCCTTTTTTCCAATAACGGCTATCTGCGAGCACATTGAGGAAAAAGACATCGAGAAAACAAAGGGACAAAGTGCGAGAGAGCGTATACGCTATAAAGTAGACCATACACGTAGATACTAGTATTGTCAATATTATAGTACAGCAAGAAAAACTAAAAGCAAGCCTCAGGGGAAAATAATCTACTAAAATAAAAAAGAAATAAATATGGATTCCCATCCATTCGCCAATGTGTAACACGATTTTATAGGATTTTTGATAACCAGTTACTGTTTGAATTACGTCACACGGTCACGTGATCTTCGGCCAGTGACTGTTAATTAAAAATTTTACACAGGACTCTCTATTGATCGATTGTTGAAGTACGATTAATGGGATTGGACTTCCTTTCTTTTTTTTTCATAGGAACCTACCTTTTTTCGTTAGATACTTTACCCCGAACTTTCCGTCCTACCCAATCATGAGTAAGTGCCAAACGAGGTTAGAGTCTCCTCGTAGTAAGATATCGCGTTCGATTGGTCCGTGGGTTGCTGGGTAATAATTGGCGCGATCATTCAAACTGAAAAGACGTTGGGCGTGACGAAATTAGATGGAAGACGTCGAATTTACTTTTTCAAATTTGACGATTGATTCTCCGTATACCTTCGCAAACCTATTAACTATTTATTATCATTGTTCGATTATTAATTTAATTTTTTATTTAATATCCTTTACGTATATAAGTCTATAATTAATTGATTTACACGGTGGTATGGCTATCTGCAAATTTATATATACTTTGTGTTCATCCGTCTTAATTTATCTTATTTAAATATTTTGAATATTTTCAGGAACTAAACAGTCGCCATTTGGATCCTGTCGAAGTTTTTCGTGGGATACCTTACGCGGCTCCTCCCGTAGGAGATCTTCGTCTAAGACCACCAACGCCACCTCTACCCTGGTCCGGTGTCAAACTGGCAGACACCTTCGGTCCAGTTTGTCCCCAGAAACATCCAGACATGACCAATCGCACTTTGGCACTCAATCAAATGCCACGTGGAAGATTTCTTCAGTTGAAGCGACTTCTCACTTTCCTGGGCAATCAAAGCGAGGACTGTCTCTACCTGAACCTCTACATACCAGGAAGCGGTACACAGTAGATATAAGTCATGTGAAATAACCTATAAAAAAAACTTGTAGTAGTTGTGACAACTGACTTTAGGATTTTTTATAAGTAAACGTACTTGGCAATTATTTTGATCCACCGGCTTCACGGATGCGGAATAAGATATGATTTTAAAGTGCCTTCACATTGCAGCCATTGTGTAGATCGATAAGATTTTTTTAAAACTTCAAACTCTTCCGAGTGTCCACGATCGGTCGGTAAACGAGTAGCGGCAATTAAATTCTGTGATCCCTTTTCTCCCCTTACCATAACCACCAGCCCTCTAAAGTAACGCTATAAAATTTAATTTTCAGTAATCCAATAAACCCTCTATGGGTGGCAGGACCAATTGTTACAGATCCTCTTTTTTTAGTGCAAAGCCATTAAAAGCCAATTAAAATTCATTTTCACGGTATCACCCAGTACCTCGTGCAACCGTTGAAAAACTTGAATACCTTTCAACAAGGAAAAATAATAGTGATATTTAATATTTCACGGCTAACATCAAACTTACGTACTTGATATTTATAATTTATGTTAATACATAATTCAAAAATCCCGCTCAAATGCGACGCATAGACAATGGGGTTTGAATAGCCAATGAGATGCGTTCATGTAATGAAATTCCTACGGCAAGAAACTGAACTTACTTAGAATGAAGTTAGGTTAGGTTAAAGTACTCCTTTATGTCTGCGATAAATCCCAAAGGAAACAGGGCAGGGATTCCCCTAGGGATAGCATTATTAATAGGAACTTGGTATTCTAGTGTTTTTTCTTTTTCTTAGGTTCTCGTGGACTGGAAGCTCCGTACGCAGTGATGGTTTACGTCCACGGCGAGAGCTTCGAATGGGGTTCCGGTAATCCTTACGACGGTTCAGTGCTTGCCAGTGCCGGACACGTTATCGTTATCACGATGAACTATCGTCTAGGAGTCCTTGGTAAAATACGCATCCGACAAATCCTTTTGATCCTCTTAGCTAGTGCAACTTAGAATTTTTTGTTCCTGTAGGATTTCTCAGGACGCGTCCCAGTCCTGACACGGGTACGGGATCCGGAGGTAACCTGGCGCTTAAGGATATCGCCATGAGTTTAAAGTGGACACGAGAAAACATTGGTGCCTTTGGCGGAGACCCAACCAGGATCACCCTGATCGGACATGACACCGGTGCGGCTTTGGTGAATCTTCTGCTGCTCACTCCTTACGGCAAAGGTGGGTCTGGAGAAGTGAATCATATTCTTGAGGTTCCATGTAATTTTACCACCAAGACGTTTATAGCTCCCCATGAAGTTCGGGTCCCTTGAATTTTCGAATTACTGCTTAGCGGTTGAGTACAGCCCAGCCCTCTGGAGGACGGAGGTCTAGGTGGGCAAGTTTGAACGATCGGCGTTACCCCCGGGGACGACCTCGTAGAAGTATCTAGAGCAATAATTATAAAAGTTAGCTCGAGTTGTGAGTAAGGGGAAAATATTTTCCAAATATACGCGCGTACTTGTAAAAGTACCTAAAGATCCTATACCGTGGGACGACGCAATAGATTTTTATTTTACGTTAATATATCTGATGTTTATGGTTATTATATATCTTGATGATTTTCAGAATTTTCAAGGAGGCCAAAACTTTTCACTGTAGGCCTCGATCAATCATCCTCGTTAATCCTGGTAAGGATTCCTGATGGAATTCAAAGTGAGAAGCTAAAATCGCATATTTTATATGCCCCGGGGATTCCAATTTCTTCGCTACGGTTCTATGACGGATACAGCCGTGTATAACCGACACTGGCCAATAAATTCTCCAGGGACAAATTACGCGGAAATGATTTCGAATTCGACGTACAGACGCTGCTGGTAACATTTATCTCGTGCACGTGTTGCCCTTAAGACGAATCTCAAATATCGAGAGCAGGAAAACGGAATGGAATAATTTATCCTTCGACGGCGAAACTGTATCTGCTTTGGCCTTTTCGCGGTCCTCTTGGTATCCTATTACTATCCGACGGCCATTCACCTTCAACTCAAGATTTACGAAGGTGATTTACACGAAATTTCACGTCCCTGGTCCCGTACTGCTTTTCAAGGTATAAATCAACCCGTCGAGGTTTAATACCCACCAAAGAGTGTCCGAATCGTTCTTTGTGCTTTTCACGCTCGAATTCTGCAGATTTGCAAAAAGCAGAAAAAATATATCACGACACCAAATTCTACTCTGGCTAAGGGTGATCCCTGGGGCAAAGTTATTTTTCCAGACCTCGAACTCCTATTACTTTCTCCGTTCTGTACCAGGGTATGGAGTACGGTCCTCATCCGCCAGCTTCTTCTACGGTTCATATTTTTTGCAAGGACCAGCTGATTAATCGTCATACGATTCGATTCACAGGATTCTCTTCACCTCTTTCTCTCTTTATTCTTTTCTTCCTTTACCTGTTCCTCGTCATGGTAACCAAGGCTGCTGACAGGAAGCGGAAGAGAACGTTTTGTCAATCCAACCTATCCATGGATACCTGATGACAACCTTGACAAATCGTTTAACTTCACGTCCTCGAGATCCTGTATGTTTCTCTCAGAACAGTAAAGAATCAAATATTTGATTACAGATTCCAGTTGTGAACGTATACGAGGATGAAAAATTTTTGAAAAATTTGTAATTTATTATATATAGCCTCATTTTTCGATTCACGGTCACAAGGCGACTTCGGTTACCGATACAGATAACGTTTTAGATTTCTGGTTCCCTTCGGGTCGCCACCCCGCTCAGAAGCTACGCTCTCGGTTTGATTCGTATAGTTAACGCCAATGCTCTCGGAAGATTTCGTTATTGTTTAGTTGAGGTCTTGGAGAAGTGGCCGTATAGGATCTTCAAAATCTTACGTACCGATTCGCTAAGGAACGCTCTCGATTTGGTTTAAAGGGACGAATTGAGGGAGACAGAAGATTTATCAGCTATAGGGATCTCGACCAATCAGAATGATTAGTTTTCGAATTTGGCTATTGTCACAGCAGTCTATCTCGGGGTACCGACCGAGGTGTCACAAACTGCCTCGCGCTCCCGTGCTATCTGTTGATAGTTTTTCTAGCCGTGTTTCGATACAGTATAGCAAACTCTCGCTCATGTAGTTCTCGTGTTGCTCTCGCGATATCCATGAAGTTCTATGAATTTCCTGTGAGTGTTTCGGAGGTGTAGTGCTGTGCCTTAGTGCAGTGTCCACCTGAGTGTCCTTTGGATACAGTTCTCGGCCTTCAGGGATTAGCTAAACCAGCTCCGGTGAGTTCTCCCAATTTATTAATTGGTGAACGGATTTCGATTTGATAGTTTAGATTCGTTCGGTTACGTCCTCGATTCGTGGCTCTCTGTCTCGCACTATTTGCCTGACTCTTACTCCGACCCTCTCTAGCTCAACCTAGTAGTCTGAGCGGCCGTGCATTTCCGTAACCGTCCGTTCGTGCATTCAGTTAAGCTTGCTGATTTTACGCGACCCCATAGATATGCACCTACGGTTGCGTTTCTCGATTTTACACGTCCCCAAAAATCGAAAGGATCCGTTAAGTTATCGTATTATCTGATAGATTCCATCAGAGCTCTCGTTTTGTTGGAATTGGGCCTGTTCCACCCCAACTCCCAGGTCATACCGGTTCGTCAGTTTCCGGTGAAAAAAGAATTGGCTGGCGTCCGCCTGGCTTGCGGATGCATGAGCGAAGGGTGGACGGCCGAAGGTAACGTAGATTAGTTTTCGAATATAGTTCGTTCTCGGGTGTTTCGCTATCGATATCGAGACAAGAAAAAATACGTTACAATACATATATCTTTTTGCCAAAAATACTGTCTCTCTTTCTCTCTCTCTACTACGTCTAGCAATTGTAGTTAAGCAGGTAGACTTACCACCGAAGGTATACCATAAAGATACTAAATATAATACACAAAATGCATTTGCCCAAGTGAGCAGAACCGAAGTAAACTGCCTCGATGTTCTCTAGGTAAGGATATTTTTTAGGACACACTAAACGACTGATGCTAGAAGGTTGGATAGCTGAAGGAACTTTCTTGGCAGGCACTCTAACCACCGGATGGTCGTTTATTTAGTAGGTCTGCAGAAGCAGAACCGGAAGTGGGAAAAAGTTCCGGGTTACCAAGTAGAAACCACCGGCTGGCTCGCATCGGGTTCTAGTGCACTCAGAGATGTAAACTGTTTGCGTCATTTCCGAGACAACCGGGACTTCTGTACATGGCGTTGGAGATATATCCGGTCGCTACATCCTGTGTCTGCTTACTACTTTCACTCGAGCTCTTTCACCGTTCCACCATTTGAACCCGTCCGACAACTTCTTCCCTCCACTTTCCTACTAACCTTCTTTTTTCTCATCCATTCGAAATCTCTTTCTCGTAACCTACCCCCCATCCAAAATTGTTCTAGAAGGATAATTCATACTTATTACCTTAGAGCAACAACCAGTAGTTCACTCCTTTGCTTGGATACACCTATATCTGTATACAAAATTATTCAATCGTACTTGTTACCGCCTGAAGGTAATTCTACCATCGAAATCACACCGACCAGCTAAGTTCAGTCGGTAAAAAAATTGGACGCTACTGCTTCTGATTTACTAATAAGACAATCACGAGAATTGAATTTGAGCGATCGTAGAGTGACAGTGATAACATGGCGTTCTTGATAAATCAATATAATTTAATTCCAGTCGCCGTCGCGCGGAAAAATGATGTTACGGAAGCGACGAAATACGAGCAATAAACATTGTAGGTTAGGAGATCGATATTATATCGAGGATGAGAGGAAAGAAAAGTAAGATGATTGTACGTGAATTAGATTCTGTGGTTAATGGTGATATTTTAGGTTAGGTTAGCTGGAATCTAACAAACAAACATGCCATGGATACAGATTATAAGGCTCGTCCACAAGAGTTGGCTAGTACTTTGATAGTTTGGACAATAGGTTACGTGTTTACCGGGAGTGTACATCATCACCCAGAAAAGTGGATGCCAGGGAACAAAACTGCAGAACGATATTGACCAGCTGAAGTGAAATGAATCGAATATAAATTGCACGTAGGAAACTTGTGGAATTAGTATAAATCCGTAGGGCAAAAGGGATCGTCCACGGAGAATAAAAATCATCACGGATCAAGTTACATATGCAGCGTCGCCATTGGTAGTGCCGATTGTAACGAAAATTCGAGAATAACGAAGCTTTCACAATGGGAATAAAATGTAAACCCTGTTTAAAATTTTAATTGAGCTCTCAGTCCTTAGAATAAAGTTGCGAATGAAGATTTGCTTGATCCTCCGGCATAGTCACCACTCCCCAGGCTACCTACAAACCACCAAATTGGATTCTTTAATTATTATTCAGCATTGTTTCTTGTTTACCTTCAATCTTAACGAGACACCAAAAGTATACAATTTCCGGTAAGGAAGCCATCTTTTGCTCCCTGTTTGATCTCAACTTTACTGGGTCCCCATTCAGACCCATCGAATTCTCCCAACGCTATGGCGTTGTAGCTATGCCCGTTTTGTGCACCCTCGGAGAATGTAATCAGGCGTGAATGGCCGATTGGCTACGTTTGATGGCACGTGGTAATACCAGAAGGGAGAAGAATGACGGCTGTGACGCCTAGCTGCTGCCCAGATGAAATGGTAGTCAATGGGTCTGCGGTTCGTCAGCGATCCTCTGAAGCATAGTGGAGGGCGAATTCGATGAGAATTCGTAGCCACCCTATCAACTACAGAATGCCATATCAATATTGGCAAAATTCCAGATACGGGCGTTTTATCGTTTCTTAATGACGCTAATAAAAAAAAATTATATAGATAGGTAGAAGATATCTTTCTTGGTTGTTATTCGTGCAGAGAGAAAGAAAAGAAAAGATAAAGCATACTTTAACGATCTTGTATTATTTTTCTTAAAGGTCTCTTTCATCGCGTCGTCCTTCTCAGTGGATCAGCTCTTAGTCCTTGGGCCTCCGTCCATGACCCCAATGATCTTCGGCTCAAGGTGGCTGAACAATTGGGATGTTCTGCTGAGATCCATGAAGATATTGCTGACTGCTTACGGTCCGTTCCTCTACGAGTTCTCTTGGACGTGGAGCTGCCGGAAATGAGGTAGAGTTCACTGAAGGTTCTCAATTATGAAAAAGAAAAATTTTTGTAAATTGACTTTCCTTTTTTTTCTACTCTTTTGGTAAACTCATCAGGTTCATGCCTCAAATTGGACCCAGCTTACCAGTGGACCAAAGTAATCCTGATCCAGCTTTGGATATGGAGAGGGCCAGCGACGCTTTTATAAAAGTTCCTCTGATCTTGGGTGTATCTACCGCTGAATCTTATTGGGATTTTAATGCAAACGACATCCAATATGGCTTTGAAGAGGATCAACGAAACAGGATCATGAGGACGTTCATCAGGAATGCTTATGTCTATCATTTAAACGAAATATTCTCAGCAGTGAGAAACGAGTATACTGATTGGGACAAGCCTGTTTTACATCCTATAAATATTCGTGATTCAACAATGGAGGCTTTGAGCGACGGCCACACTGTTGCTCCGTTGATGAGGATTGCGTATTATCATGCTCGACGTGGAGCCAAGACTTACTTCTATCACTTCAACTATCAGACCAGAGACAGCGACTATCTTCAAGTGAGTACAGGTTATCTTTTTTTAATAAGAAATCAATTTTATCCTTAACTGAGGAAGATGCTGTCTTTGGCTATGTTTTACTTTCTGAATTAAAATGTACTTCATTTTTTTTCATCAGGTTTGTCCCTGCTCCTTTCTTTTGGAACAAGTTGGCGTGGCAGACTTTGATCTTGTTATTCTTTGGACCCAGTGTCAATGATCAAACCGTCGTGTTTTATTGGCCTATATCAGTTTCTATCGATTGAGCTATCTATAGAGGTACCTTCCCTGAAAGAATCTTTGATCATGTCTCCTAATAGGAGCTACGGCCCCGAGTCCAAAATATCCAACTCGTTTACACCTCAAAAAGGTATTCAGGTTCTTCAGCCTTATATGAAATTTTCTAGATAGGGACATACCGGGTAAAGTAGAATTCATTTAAACCTCAAATCTGTACTTCCGTTCCGTTTCGCAGCTTTGAGTTTCTGATAAGAACCGAGATTAGGATTCATTTAATGTGGAATTTCAATTGTAATTCATATCTTAGACCTCGATTGATCGTTGAATTTATTTTTTTTTATTTTTTTTTTAAGAAACATTATGTAGCTACAGAATTTTGACAATGTAACATTCAATGTTTTTGACGTGGGGGAACCAGGGTCTTCCTGACATCGATATCGCATTTAACGATATGACGTTCTTTTACAGTCTAAACTATTTTTATCTAAACTATCCAAACTGCACTATTCCTATCAATTTGTATCGGTGACACATAGCATATACAAAGTAGATAAAATTGCCTTATGCTGCAGTTTTATGAATCGAGTTTAAGTACTGATCTAATGTTTGTTAGCGTTCTCCTACTGGGTCTAATTATAAAACTTAACCGCCTTATTCAGAGCCACAGGTTTCTTTTACGACCCGGTGAATACTCTGGAGGAGTTCAGGTTAGGAATTTCTTAGTTGAAGGAGTCTCTGATACTCTTAGAAGGTACCATGAGCGTTCACGAGGGTTATAAGGGTTCTGGTTAAATCTCGGTAACTCTATTAGCAACCCTTAAAGAGAAGATGGGAGAGAAGCTGCTGTCTGAGACTCCTCTTCCTGCGGTTACTTGGCAAACCCTCTTACTTCTGCGAGAGGTAACGATCTTATGCTGGCCATGATTTTACGATGAAGATCCTGATTAAATTAGACGCCTAGTGGGCAAAGAAGATGACGCCTCCTTAGCTACCAGGAACCGCTCGAAGAAAACTGATCGGATCGGTAAATTAAGTGCTCGGCTCCTAGAGAAGTTGCTACGCGAAATTTTGGAAGTTACGAACTTAATTATCCTGCATTACGTTAGTGAGATTCTGGGTGACTGGAGTAGACTTCAGACTACATAAGGATGAGGATGATGACATACGAGAACGTTGACGTTGTCGTACGTCAGTTAGTATTTTAGAAGTGCCAGTTTGTATTGTATTATGATTTTCTATCCTCCTTATAATCTTTATTGCACTACTTAAAGTAATGGCCTAAATACAGTTTTTATATATTACTTTATCTACAAATGGAAATTTTATGTCTGACACTGATCATGAAACTTTTCCGGCACGATGCTCAAATTTTCTTTTTGTTTTCTCTAAAACTTGCGCCTCTGGTTTCTATACACTGTACAAACTTTCATTGTTCAATATCTACCTCCTCTGTGTTATTTAAGTTTCCACAAGAGAAAAATATGCCTATTCATCCTCCACTTGACAGTTTCGAATATTTATGGTTTTATTAGACTATGAAAAACTTCAAAATCAATAAACTTTTTAATATTATAACTATTCTTCTTTTATTGATTTACAGCGATTAGGCAGTGTACGTGGTGAAGACATACCTTATCTCTTTGGATTGCCACTGGTAGCTGGTGGACCATTCTTCCCACAAAATTACACAAGACAAGATCAGGGGGTAGCGGAAGCGGTTTTGACGTTCTTCACCAACTTCGCCAAGACCGGAAATCCAAATGAACCCCACAATATCGAATCAGTGGACTATGGTACTGTTAAGGAGAAGACACGATTTCGAGGTCTAACTTGGGACCAATATGAGACCGGATCTCAGCAGTACCTGATGATAGGTTCGACTTCCGCTTAGTCTGACGCTTGCAAGCAATTAAAATTCTTTAGGAACATTGAGTATTTTTTTGATTTTATAAATGTTCCAGCACTCAAACCTAAAATGAAGAGTCACTATCGAGGGCACAAGATGGCTGTCTGGCTCAATTTGATTCCCCAACTTCATCAACCAGGCGATGACGACGTGTCGATGCGTCATCATCATTTTCGAGAACATGGAGATCATTTATACGCAGGTTAGAGCAGTATTTCCTGTAATATTTCAAAATTTTTAATTATTAATAATCATATAATTCCGCCAACATGTTTATTTTAGGACCGGTAAGAGACGAATGGCATACTCCCTTACCTTTACCTGGCACAACCACCACGAATTCTCTTTCAACAACCACATGCACCACGTCGACGAACGAAGAGATCATTACCGAAGACATCACAGCCATCTTGGACAACAGCGAAGACGATGCTGAGCTTCTCCAACGGCTGGCATCAAGACATTATTACAGTACTACCACCGCCCTGGCGATAACTGTAGGCGTCGGTTGTATACTCCTGGTACTGAACATGCTCATCTTCGCGGGTATATATTACCAGAGAGACCGCGACAAGAAAAGAGCGGCTATGGATTGTACGCCAAATGGTCAGGAGTCCTTACCAATGTCCACGAGAACGTCTCTGAAACCTGCGGATAATATCAATCAAACTCAAGAACCACCACCGTCCTATACAACTCTAGCCAGAAGTCCTACCATCCAAGACCAGGAATCCGTTCATCATCAACAGGTCGAATGTACTGACGAAGAGCCTAGAACGAATCTCAAGATTTTAACCAGCGCAGGACAGAAAGATCCCACGCCTCCCAAACCTCCTACGAGGACAACCAGCTCCTTGAGTACTACAGCTGGCACCATTAAGAAACGCGTGCAGATACAAGAAATATCTGTATAGCATTAGGGATTACCCTCCGAGGGTACAATAACACGTGGTAAGCGAGTCACTTTCCTGGACCTAGAGGGCACTGCCGAGTCCCGCTTTTGATACCAATTGGAAAATATTTTTATCTGTCCCTTCGATTAATGATTTCATTAAACTCCTGACTTATCAATCCAATCCTCGGCACTTATGTCCTTTTGCTGTTCAAATAAACTTCATTGAATGATTTTATTCAGTGCTTGACTTCGCTGTTCTCTCGGAGGGTGAACATGCCGGATCTATCGGCTAAAAATATTAACGCATAAAGCATATAGTGATTATCTGGATGAAAGCGATAAAAAATACCGTGGTCCATTTTGTGCATCACAGCATTTTGCTTGGAATCTTGCTGAGCAGGATTGACACATGGATACTTAAAAACTGTTGAAATTTTTAAGTGTCTCTTACTCCAACCAATTTCAACTTGTGACTATTTCTACCTGCCACTGTACATACATACAACCGCTTAACGACTTCATTTTGAAAAAGGGATTACACGAGTCTTATATTCTCAAGTATAGCTACCTATGAATATCAGTGTAGGAAAGTGTGTTTAATTAATTACTCCTCTTCCCTCGGACCAAAAAACGTTGGAAAGGATAAAAGAAATGGACGTTTACATGAAACTGATAAGAATATCTTTTTTGTTAATATTAAACTCGCTAGTTGCAATAACGGTGTGTAATGGGACAAAAATAATTTCGATTAAATCCGAGGTATTTAAGTGAATCTTGAACGGTGCGTCTCGTATGTGGAACTTCAGAAGGCACGTTTAAACATATGTTTATGGTGGTTTATAAAAGAAAGAACAAACGTTAGTGTACTTATTCTCAAATGTCCAACAGAAAAGGACGACTCGATCATGCTGTAAAAGTGAGACTATACCTTTTAGAGTGATTAGAATTTAGAATGGTTAGAGATCATTTGCCACTAATAGCAGATGAGCTGTTTGGAACTATGGAAAACTATTGATATCATTAAAAAGAAAAAACGTATCCCGTTATGTATCGAATAAAGAATGAACGTATGCGAACAAGCACGAGCATTTTTTTGTTTAACAATATAAAAGTGTCGTCAATGCACACAAGTAATATTGTAAGGCAAACAAATCCTAGTGAAATTAAAGACATGTAATTGTTTCATTACGAAGCAATGAAGAAGGGAAATTCGAAATTTAACGATCGTTAAAATTCACGTAGTCCATAAAATACACTAGTCCAATCCATTTGTAAATTTCACTGTAGGTTTCAGTATCACAATAAATTCGAATTTGTAAATATTTATTTTTACAATGTTTATCCTCAATCTAATTTTTCTCTTCGTGAGAATTAAACTTGTATAAATTAAAGAGTAGAGGATAGATTTATAAAAATAATTGTCAGGTAGTTTTAATTTGTTATGAAATATAAGCTACGCCTTTTTATTATAGTTCAGCTAAATCAATACTTGTACATCATATACGATTTTTAATTAAAATGTACATGTAGCATACATTTGTTAATGACGCACATCACGCGTGTGATATATTCATTTTTTTTTTCTTTGTTATACCTTATTTAAATAGGCACACGCGTAGCGACAACGATATACAATATATTGAAAGGCGTATGCATTGTGCATACACAATAAGACGAGGAAACGGTAACGAAATAAAAAAAGTCAACTAATCATAGAACGAAAAATTTAAATACGACCCACTAATCAGTCGTAACTTTTTTTGAAGCAGGCTCGTCTTTTCCTGGACTTCCTCGTCGTTTACGACCTCTTTGACCTCCACGACCACCTGCAATTGAATCGTTAATATTGCAAATTAGAGATTGCGCAGTGAAATGTGCAATTGGTTTGAATGCTGATAGATAATTCAGTGCTTCGAGAAAGCGTCAACTCAGCGAGATCCTGAAGATCCCTCAGTATTAGCATGGCAAGTCATCATTATTTTTCAGTTTTATATCATTTCTTTTGTTACTGATGGATTGTAGTATTTTGATGTAAAAATTAACATTTACCTTTTCTACCGCCACGCTTTCCAGCTCTGTTATTCATTTTTGTTTGTCTGAGGTTTCTCATTTCTTCTTTTGCTTTGGTCAAGTATTTTGCTTCCTCTTCCCCTTCTAAAAGTCTGCATGTCACTTCTTTACCATTGATAATAACCTGTGGGATAGAAAAAATATATATATTTAAAGAAATATGTTACAGATTAGATATGAAACGTATGTAATTTTAAGGATTACATGGTACCTGATTCTTTTCCATTTTGTCAAGTAGGGGTTGTGCAGCACCTTCTCCCTGAAGACGAACCCAACCTTCTGTGTCGCCTTTTTTAAAATCAACGAATGCAATACAGGCATCCAATTCTCCCAATCTCTCTTTAATATGTTCTCTTGTACTGTCTTCTGACATTCCAGAAAGATGTAACACCGAACCTTTTGGTAACCCACTATCCTTCTCTGATGCATTGTCAGCTTCTGCTTCAGCGACATCATTAACATCCTGTTATCACGTGAGTTAATTTTATATAGTTATTGTTATATTGATGAGTATTAGTTTCAAATTGTTCAATTTTTTCATACATTTTCCTGCTTTTCACCCTTCTTCTCAGCCTTCTTTTGCTTACGCTCCTCCTTCTCTTTTGCTTTTCCTATAGCGTAATCAGCTCTGAATGGAAATATTGTAAATTGTATCAAATATAAAATCAAATAAGTTCTAATTTCAGTTTCCTTCTAAGCATATTAAATCCATACTTACGACCACTTTTTGATTAGCTCCGTATCTTCGTACTTTACACCGTCTTTCTCTAAAAAAACTTTAGCATCTTCCACCGTGGTGAATTGAACGAAAACTGAACCTTTGAACTGTAACTTTTTTTGTTTATCCTGATATTTTCTCATCTAGAAGAACACTACATGTAAGACCAATAGTGTCAAGTGTATGATAACTTAAGAATTAGTAAGCAGCAACCATACTTACAACAATATTTTCAATTAGTCCATAAGGCTCGAAGAACGTTTTCAGCATTTCTATAGTAATACCAGTCTGTGGGAATCCCTTAACATAAACAGTTCTAGCTTCTTGTGCTTTCCTGTACTCCTCATCAAAAACTGGAATTGGATGTTTTGGAGTGCGACGAATTTTTTTTTTATCCTCAGAAATTTCAATCAGATCACTAGTCTCAAGGGCTTTCAAAATTACATGAACATCCTTGCTCATCGAAGCAAGGAGTTTAAAGTTAAGCATTACTGTCATTGGAATCCAACCATCATCCAGTTTCACTTGTTCAATCAAAAATTTGTCACGTTGCATATTTACATCCCCAAAGTAAAACTGAAATATTGAACCCAACCTTTACTCTTATCCAATTAAACAAGTACTTAGATACATAACTGCAAACTTTCATTCAAAAATTGTTTTAGCTCTGATCTCTGATACGCTGAGCTTCAATGTACATATATGTTACCGGCTCCAAAAGAGTACGATGAAACGGTCACGTACTTCAAAATGCCATTTTATTTATTGATTACAAAAGACAATCATTCAAGCTCTTTATCAAATATCTGTTAGTCCTATACGTATATGAAATCAAAACAAATAATACCTCGACTTGTTTTTTTATCTTTGTCAATAATTCAGCACTTGGCTCTTCTACCGCTGGTACATCCGCCGGCTTATCGTCCTTAACCTTTTCAGGTTCAGCGTCTTTTTGAGCTTCTGGCTCTTTCGTGTCCTTTCCGTTTTCCATTGTTAATTTTGATGATAGGTAAATTTAGAAATTGTATATTTGCAGTCAACAACTAGTATTCCAATTAAGCAAATCCATTCACGGTGGAATTCGTCAAAGAGTTAATGCCACGTAAACACGTGTTGAAGAACTATAACGGAAACCGGGATACAGCGGGATATAAATGCATAAAACAGGAAATGACTATCGCGCAGTTCTACCAAACGTAGAAAGAAAAATCTCGAAATGAAGCAATATTATATTCGTGCGAATCATTCATAAATTTTATAACAAAACTTTATTTTATTGTACAAATTCGTAAAATATACTCATTGATTCGAAACATACTCTTTTATATTAATGAATTTCTTAACCAATTGTATAGTTAAATTTTGCGCCATAGGTGTTTTCAAATAACGGTTTGTTCAAACGTGAATTTGAATCTTAAACATTATTGCATTCCTTATAAAAATGTAATAACTAATTCAGAGAGGTAATGAAATAACTAATTTTGTGTTAATTTAAACTCTACAAGTTTCATTATTTAAGAAAATTCTGTTTCAGTTATTGCGTTTGAGGTATATGATCACATTCGGAAGTCATATATATAGCTGCGCGTTAACTGATGCGGCCCACTATTTGATCTGACTTGATCCGTCTCCTTCTTTTCCGGTTCGCTCTTTTGGGTGACTGTGTCTTCTTTAGTTTTAGCTGTAATTAAATCTTTCTCCATCTTTCACAATGAAGATCTACAAGGATATCTTTACTGGTAAGTAAATTCTAAGAGTTTAGATCTTTGCTCTCACTTATTTATTTTCGATTATTTTATTCTCACTTTTTAAATAAGTACGACAGAAATTGTCAAACTACTGACATTTCGGTCTCCATACCCTCCCTTGTATTCTTCGCATACTTTACGTTTTTCAATTACGAATTACAATCATTTTTTTAATAGAAATCTGAATTTTCAGCACATCTACACAAAATTCCCAAGTTATTTGCCGTATTTGTCATGAAATTCTAATTTACTGGAGCATAACCTATGTTCATATTTCTTTTTACCCTTATGTAAAATTAGGTAAAAATTATTTATGACAAAGTGAACGGTTATGACTTTCATTATTTTTCTTAATCCAAAATCTCTCTAAATATTACTTCTTAAGTTGATTCAGTCAGAATTACCAATTATTTAATACTTCATTTTGGTATAACCTACAATTTTTGATCTCATATATGCACTGTAATGTATTTCTGGAAATCTTCATCCATATGGCAATGTGAAATTTGAAATGCAGTTATTACCAAACAGTCACTTTTGTTGTTTACTGGTTTTGATATTGCTTTATTTCACACGATAAGTCAAAAAATTGTATGTTGAATAATAGTAAACAATTCTTTTCTTCCAGGTGATGAGATGTTCTCTGACACCTACAAAATCAAGCTTATAGATGATGTCCTCTATGAAGTATATGGCAAGGTAAATATTAATTAATACATAATTTTGAATTGACTATTATATTTAGTAAGGTATGAGAATATTAGACAACTATATAATTATATAGTGATATGATTAATTTTATTTACAGCTTGTCACACGTAAGGGTGGAGAAATTTCAATTGCTGGATTTAATCCCTCTGCTGAAGATGCTGATGAGGGAACTGATGAAGCAGTTGAAACTGGAGTCGATGTAGTTCTAAACCATCGTCTTCAAGAGACTTACGCTTTCGGTGACAAGAAATCTTACACCCTGTATCTTAAGGATTTCATGAAGAAGTAAGTACCCTTAATTTTTCCCAGAGACAATTCTTATATATGGTGAAGTGAACAAATGTGTTTTATCGCATTTATTATTATGTGCTTCCTAATCTTAATATTTTATTAAATACGTTTAGATTGATAGCCAAGCTTGAGGAGAAATCTCCAGAGGAGGTGGAGGTATTCAAAACGAACATGAACAAAGTTATGAAGGACATTCTGAGCCGATTCAAGGAACTACAGTTCTTCACTGGCGAATCCATGGACATTGATGGTCTTGTGGGTCTCATGGAATACCGAGAGATCGATGGAGAATCTGTGCCAGTTCTGATGTTCTTCAAACATGGTCTGGAAGAGGAAAAATTCTAAACAATTCTTAGATATTCAACAAATTATGGAAAAATTTTGTAAGTAATATTCTCATCCCAAATACGAATAACTCAAATTTAAATTAATAAAATGGTGATACTCGAACTAACAAATAAGAGAAAGTACTTAAACAATATTATACATGAACAAATTCCCGACTTGCGCAGCCAATGCGCCTGTCGCTGCACAATCATGTTAGATGAAAGTTGGCTATCAGATTCCCGCGGCGAATTTTCTTAATATTCGCAGCGTCTATGTTATCCGTACAATTATTATCTTATCAAGATCACTTCTTAGACCTTGAATAAATATTATCCTTCGACCACATAATTCCGTTTTAACGTATATACATTATTTACAATTTCAGATAAGCCGGAGCCAAGACTGCACACGCTGAGAAGCTGTGAGATTTATTTAACGTGGGGAAAAAAAAAAGAATGAAAGCTACGAATAATACTACTTCCAATCCCAGCTGTCCTGCAGTTAATTTATTTTTTAAATGTCATTTGTCAATGATTATTAATAGAAAAGAACGATTGTACATACACTCAGGCAATGAAATGATAATTGAATGAGGAATCACAACGTTATCTTTTTGATTTTGATAATCTTGTGAGGAGTGCAAGGATATTTGTTTACGTTCGAGAAGCATGGAGGATGGTGAAAGAACACACGGCAAAACGTTAAAAAAAAACTGATGATCAGAAATTTACAATTATAATTTACACATCGATCAATGATAACTACATGTTTCCGAGATCAATCTGGATATATCCGTGATGAATAAAATATTGACGTTTTCATAATCAGCTATAAATTTTCTATTTTTTTCATTTACTACAATCGGCCTATTTTTCAAATGTACCTTGATCCTTCAGATATGAACATCTTATCCGTTATCGTATCAAATGAAGAATTCATATAATTACATTAAAATAATACAAATCATTTGCGCTTACAATAAACAACATCACCGATGATGCAATTGCACAATTACTTAAATAAATTGTGATACTTATGTAAAACTGTTAGCTTCAATTACAACAATTTGCAGCTTATTAATTAGATGCCTCATTGATTAAATATAAAATAAAAGAAGTGTTGCACGGAACGTAATAGACTTGATGAATCATTTATAGTTTATATATATATATATATCACTTGTTTCTCTCCTATTTATTATAATATTCATTGAATACCACCCGCCCTTAAATCCTGAAACTTCATTTTTAAAAACATCAACATGTCTAATTAACAAGCTGCAAACTCGTTGGGATATATAGCTTGTTATTCTCAGATATGAGTAGGACGATTCCGAACGAGCCTACAGAAATCAGTAGGGAAATGCACAACGCTACGGTCTTAGGCGATACCAAAATCATAGCACTAAATCGTAGCGGCGAGTCTGGAAGTAGGACTTTGTGATCATCGCCTCCGACGACAATGCGAATCCCGTCGTAGCCGAGCTAAACGTGCAACGAACGCATAGCTTGGCGGGCAGAGGTTCTCCGCTACTCACCGCTGGTTCCAAAGCAACCTTTAGAACGAGACCGGAAAATGTAGAACTTCTCAGTCGACTCTAAAAAAAGATTTCTGAACATACCCTCTATGAGGGCATAAAACCAAAAAGAATGAGAAGAAGAAGGAAGAGAGAAGAAAAAAAACTAGTTGCATAGAAATATTGAAAATTCGAAAAATTGAATAAAGCTTTCCAAATACTACTAAATCTTATTGGATCTTCATTCACTTTCAAAGTTTATTCAAAATATAAAATTGAGGCTAAATCAAAATTTCGCAAAATATACAGAGTAGATAAAAATTAAATTGAAATGGTAGAATATCGAAAATACATTATGTTAAAATTGAAATATTAATAAATTAGGTGTTTGGAGCATTTAAATAATTAATTAAATCACTAAAGTAAAATATTAACACTTAGAAGTCGGAAATTCTGACCAAGCATATTTAGAAATACTGGAAGTTGCCTAAAATTGTGAGCGCGCAACTTCGTCGCGCAGGATTCGGCGGGAGGGGGAGAGTGGGGAAAGCGACGAACGCAGCGCCCGGACTCGGAGCGCTCATTCTTCCTCGAGC